ACATTCTTCGCGTTGTGGCCGGTAGGGTTGACTATCCGATATTGCTCTCAAATGTTATTGGGTGCTCATTTTTTGTTTCTTTTGTTTCGTTTGTAAAACTTGATGGAACATTTTATACTTTGTATTGTATTATGGACTATCAATTGTCTGAAATTCAATGAATTAATTAGATTATTTATATATTATATTAACCATTTTTAATGCCGTACTTATTTATATTCAGGTTTCAATATCACTTGTATATTTTCTGGAAATCCATCTGTACAAAGAAATAATTTCGCGATATTGAAAAGGGACGGCTGACGACGACGTAAGCCCAGATACCGAAATGTATCTCTGTAGTTATACCTACGTGATTTTCAATTTGATAATGGAAAGTTACATATCCTTAGGTACAGATTGCAAAAAATCAAAGTGTACGATAGCCTGGTTGCATAGGTGATACCTAAAGATGCTAAACTGCTAATTTGACGACATTGGTAGCCCAACGGTTTGCAATGACTTTTCGAAAAAGGTTCCGGTCTGGGTGTTCTAGGTAACGTAAGTGAATTTCGATGCTCTGTTACTCTAATTGGTGTGGTTATTTTGTAAAAAAATTGCTTTCTTCGAGAATTATTGTTATAGTGGTGATATTAGTTAGTCAACAATCAATACAAATAAGAGGTCTACCATGAAATCCGAAATAGGAAAAAACGATCATCGATTTAGTTTCGTATCGGACGGACGCTATCACTAAACGCTTCTATCCGATATGGGTCCGAAGGCGTTCGAAGGTCAAATTGTGTTGAATAATCTGATTTATTACATTTTGCATATATTTGAATCATGTTTGAGTCTCAGAGGACTAAAATGAATTATTTTTCTTTGTGTTTTTTTGTATACTTGTCTCTTCTTACACGACTAAAATAAATAATTTTTCTCTGTTTTTTTTTGTATACTTATCTCTTTTGCCGTCTATATAAAAGGTAACAGTATTGAGAGGATTGTAACCGGGTCTCCAATAAAGAACGTTATTTCACATCTATTTCCGTATTACTATTACGGAATCGAATGTAGTTATTATACGTATGGAACTAGCTGGCTGTGCGTCACATTCGGATTGGTTATTTAAGACACGTAAGAAAACACCCGCTCCCATGTCACAGGTTATATTCCTTTATGTATCAGGGATCATTTTATGTGTAATATTTTAAATTTATACTTATTCATTTATATATTTCTTTACATATATTTACCAAGATCGAACACGCAGAAAAATTCCGTCGACCCGTAGCGCCGACGAATACCGAAAAGTCAGTACAAAGGTCTATAACAAAAAACTCGTGGCTCAGATGGTTAGAGCAACATGGTACGGTGCAGCATGGATGTGAGTTCGAATCCCACCGCGTCGACGAAATTCTTGTGTGTGTTTTGTCTTTGTATTCATAATTTATACTTATTTAGTTAAATTTTTACTATAAACCAAAACTTTATTAAAACATTACCTATATGTATAGGGCGTGAAGAAAAAGTACTATAAACATTGTAGATAAGACATTTTGCTTCATGGAGTCATCATTCAAAGGCTTTTAAAAAGGTGCGTGTCTTATCTGGGAATCGAACCGACCGACTGTGAAAAAAGTCACCTGTATTTTTTTGATGCCCATCAAAAAGGTCAATCATAAAAATTTATTCCTTTTAAGTAACGTACAATTTTAACGACATGATTAATCAAGGGCCAAATCTGAAAGCACGAAATCGAGGCTTGTCTTCGTTGACGAACATCGAGAGTAATTTCGTAGGTTAGCCATAGTGGAAAAACGGCGGTAACTATGGATTTCGTGCTTCGAGTGTAGGGCCCCAGAAGCGCTTTCTCTCGAGAATTTTTTACGAAAAATCGTACCTAATTTATGGATGTACTAAATCCTGTTTTCCAATGGCTTATATTTATAGGGAATTTTTAGGGGTACCCACAGAACAATATATACAGTCCAAATACTTAGTCGGTATGACACGACACGTGTACTAATAATACGCAAAGTTCCGCATACTTGAGTCCACCATTTTGTATGTTATGATCGTGTCAATTATCTCGCTCAAAACTTCGAAAATTGTGGAAATTTTTTTTATTTTGCTACTTTGGAAAGCAAGAATGATAGTCGCACGTGTTTCATATCATCATTGACTCTTATTTTATTTCATTTTAATAAATTATTACTTTTCCGTTTATCGTAATAGATTTTTTGTTATAAGAAACGGAAGCTAACCTTACACCGCTGCAATATAGTCGACTAATTTTTGAAATTTTTTCGTCGTTTTTCAGCTATTGCCGCTAGATAGCAGCACTAAAATAAAATCAAAACGTCGTAACTTGCAATATAGGTATTAATATATAAAGTTTAAATTATGTTTACAGGCCAGAATTTGTTACATTTTTTTAAATTAAAAACTACGAGCAATCTTTATCGAGTTTTCATAGTGTTGAACTTTATTATACTTAGTGTGTGTTTTGGTAAAAGTGGTTTTGAAAGTATTCTAAGCTTAAGGTCCTTTCCATTGTATTTCGTCCGTGAGCGTATCTAATCTCATTCTCCTTAGAGGGCGTAATGTATGCGGAAAGCCGTATACGTTGCCGGGTACAGCTGGTTATTATTTATTTTACAATCTCGCCTCTTTCATGGCTTAGGAGATAAATTTTGGGTGTTTAAACGGGGGAGACAGTTTTCCACGACAATGGCACAGTTGGTTGGGATAAGGGACGCAGGTTGTAAGGACCAGGTGTATTTCTGCATTTGAGGCTCCAGTCGTTAGCGAGCCTGCCTGGATTGTTATCATAATCAAGAGTGAGATGCGGGCGAGGTCAGTTTGTAAATAATGTTTCTTCTATATAGAGTTTACATCGCTCTGAATTAGACAAAGGCCGAACGGGGGTCGTTCAAGTTCATAAAACATTCTATTAAGATTCTTACCATTTGTCATAATACATGTAGAAGTAAGACCGCCCCAGGGAGTACACACTAGGAGCATGATCACAGCCTAATCAATCATTCTGTTTTGAAAGAAAATACGTTGTACGGTCAAGAGCACATCAAGCTTTGTGGACATTGGAATGTTCATATCGTAAGCGGTATAGAGTTGAATTTAAATCTCATGTTCAGGATTGACTTCAGTCAACTTGAATCTGCACATAGGTGCATATCTGTACGTAAGTAGATTATATTACTTGTAGCGAATAGCAGCCGTCGAGTCGGTACAAATCTCTTTTGTATATATATTTTATATAGTCTTTTTAATGTGCTTGTTTATCAGATTTTGGCATCTAGTTTTCAATGACGTTTTAGACGTAGCGCCATCTATGAGAAATCTTTGAAAGTATTTCGTCATCCAGTTACACATCTTTACAGTTATTTTCGCTATAAATTATATTAAATTTTTATTGAATTAATATTCAATTATTTTTTGCGAAATTACTCCAGTAGTATAGAATATAGAATTCGGTTATTGTATTTCACCCACTTTCGCTTAACCGGTTTCTATAAAACTTGGCATATAGATTTTATTTCGCAAAGTTTTAATTTGGGTTTTTTTTAGTAAAAATTGTATACAAAAGTGAGCACATTCAATCCGTCAGAAACTATGAAAAGGTATTTTTTTTAGATTCCAAAATAAAATAAAAGGGAAAAATGAATATTTTTTCTAATAAAGACACAAATTTTTTTTAAAAATTTTTGCTCTCCTCAATTATTTCTGCATTTTATTATAACAAATCAGACTATAAATAGTGTTGCTGTGTAAAATTAAATAAAACGTAGTATTTTACGTGATAAGTAACCGAAATTACAAAAATATTTTGTTTGCGAAAGAAGACCGATACTTTTTTCATTATGAAAAGTTTATCATAATTATTAAATACTATATAAAATGATTTTCCAAGTCCAACTATTAAATAAAAAGGAGAAACTGATAATTCTCATTACATACGTAATTCACTGCGACAGATAACGACTTTAAAAATACAATGGTACCAAAGCTGGCGTGAGCTGAATTTTAACTACAGCTTGAAAACCATCTTTACGCTACTCAATTAACGTCAAGAGCCCATTGACCTTCTTGCTCAATGTGACCTAACGAACAAAACTTACCGCTCCTTGCGAAGTTCGGCATTGCGCTTCCTGAAAGTGGCGACGTGGGCTTGCAACTCGGCAGAATGTCGCTCGTAGATTTGTGACAGCTGTGCCGAGAAGTCCGATACTGGAACAATATGAATTTATTCAGTACACACAACTTTGTACAAACACCAAGAAAATTAATTATATAATGCAATTGCACAATGCTTACGCATCAAAATATTGCTCTAACTTTTAGTAGTTAGGAGTTAATCCAGGAAAGTACTGCCACCTTATCTATTTCTGCCGCCAAGTAGTAATGTGTTGGTGAAATTACAGGCACAACCACGTGCTTGTAATTTAAATGGAGCTTGTCACCCTAAGACATAAGCTAACAAGTCCCAACAGGTTAACAGGCGCAGTAGCAGCGTCACTCAGATAGTTCTAAGTGGTACTGCAACTGCTATGGACAGGCGTATCGCTTAACACCAGGTGCTAGATTTTTTCGCTCCGTCTCTCCGCCCGACTTGGTATCAGTAGCAAAATAAATATAGCTTCACTGGCACATTAAATACTTTACTGTATCACATAATTTAAAAATAGTGTGCAAAGGCTAGCTTAACCCATAAAGAGCTTTCTTCCAACTAACTTTTGAACCGCTGGTAGGATAGTCAGTTCCTGTGTGTCAATGCTTTATTTAAAAAATAGAAGTGTGATTGTTACATAGTCAATAATCAAATAGATAAATTACTTATATTAGATATGATCTCTGTCTGTCTATCTTGGATGCTGAACGAGGAGGTTCCGGGTTCGCTTCCCGGTATGATCAATTTGGGAAATTAACTTTTCTAAATTGGTTCTGGCCTCCGGTATTCGTAGTACAAGGAATTAATTCCCTATCTTTTTAATGGGTAATTGTTGTGGTTGTCTGGCACATTACATCATTACTATCATAATTGAATGATGATATACTGATATTGCATAATCTACAGTAAAATAAATGACTTAATTAAAACAAACTTATAAATAACCATTTCACACGTAAATTTATGTTTTAAGTGTTAAACCCAGGGAGACCGAATAATCCCAAGACTTCAAAAGGGGTACTCTGAAAACTCGATTTGAAAGTGACCGTGACCTCAACTTGAAGAAGGTTCCACATACGAGTCCGACTTTTTTTTAACTGTAAGGCAGGACGTAAGACAAATGAATGCCGGAACGTAGGCTGTCACCTATAGCTTGACGGAATTCTAAGCGCTCACAAAGTTAATTAGGGGGAAAATTATGAAAAAGGTTTTATAGAAGAAACATAGAACGTGAACATTATTATAAAGACGAATAGGCAGCAACTTTAGCTCATCCTTAAACTGGGAAATGTGGTGTATGCCCTGAATTTACTGTTGTTCAATTTTTTTTATGATACCAAATGTCGGGATGAACAAGTCGTGCCCATAGTGGTAAGCGACACATCTGTCCATAGCAGTTGCAGTGTCATTCGGAGCTTTAAATTGCAAAGATCTGAAGGGCACTGCCACTGCAACCGTCACCCTGAGAACATAAGTTGACAAGTCCTATGTGCCTGCCTACAATAATCGACTCATCCGTAGAACAAAGACCTATGTGATAGATTGCTTATTCTCAGGACATTGAACATTGTGTGCGCTGTTCTTAATTGTGGATATCAGATCGATCGTTCTTCTTTCCCAAACGAAATAATACACAAAATTCTGAAAACATCTAGAGCTAGGTCTTTGTTTGTCCTCTTTTCGTTGTATAATCACATCGGACTCTGTTCTTCAGATGAGTCGTATCACCAGCACCCTTCAAAAGTAGTACGCAGTGATGCTTACATTACTACTTGGCGGCAGAGGAAGGTAGGACGGCAGTACTTCCCTTGACGAACTCTTGCACAAGGAGTTCTATTGCTATTAAACTTCTTAAGAAGCTCCTCCGTACGATAAATATACACGACGTCTCTATAATCCAAAAGAGAAAGAAAAGAGTGCGAATGAGCGTCAATTTATTGGACAAGGGCAGAGAGTACTGTAAAGTACAGGCGTTAGAGAGAATGAAGCGATGCACAGACTTAATGACTTGCATGGAAGACGTGCATGACCAAGAGAGTGTCTGGTCCATTATGATGCCAAATTTTTTACTGAAGAAGAAAATGATTAAGCGAATGTATCTGAATGATACATTCAGAACTAAATTGGGTATCACCACAGATTCTATGTTGGAAATGCAGTGATAACTACAAATTATCAGGGTTCAGGACACACCTGCTGAATTTGAATAAATTGACACGAGAACGAACAAAAAAATTGGATTTTATAAACACTAATCTTAAAGATTTTAAGTAATTGAAGTTAGTGATTTCTTTAAAAATTCGGATACTGTTTAGTTTATTCAATTTGTCAACAAATTGTGTTTTAAATAGTTTAAGGTTTTCCTCATATCTTACTTTTCATAATGTGTTGTAAATTTTGACGCCATTGTTACATTTGCAACAAATGAATAAAAAGGTAGACAATTGGAGCAGACGCTATGAATCTCTTTGTATGTTTTGTTTTTATAATCTTCTAACCCTTTTAGTCTTTTCTTTGGGATTCTATATGTAATCATATTATTTTTGAGCCGATATATGACATCTCATATTCAGCTAGTCATCTTTTGATAACTACGTTACTTCATTCTTTTGTAACTCGTTTTCTTTTCGTGCTACCTAGTTGTGGAACTGATTCCCTTCTGACATCCAGGCTAGCAGTTATTCCTATAAGAGAAGGTTGATAATGCAGCTTTTTAAATCATATACACGTATACATGGCAAATTCGAAACAGAGTAGCGCGCCGTTGCTTGCTCGTTGTGGATTGTCTGATGATCCAAGTCATCCTCATTCGACCACCAAGGCGTGTAAACACACGAAGCGGAAACCCGCTTCTACCCCTTTTCGCCATCATTGTATTATATATCGACCTTACCTGAGTGGACTGCTTGACGTTTTCAACTAGTACAAGCTAAATCTACTAGATTGCGTTGTAATTATATTAACTTTTTGAAAATCATGACTGATGGCGCCGCCGCGGCGGTGATGCTCCGACATACACATACAATTTATCTAGTTTAAAATATTTAAGCTTCTATTGTGTTTTTATAACTAACCTGTTTATAAATTAAATAGATTAATAAATAAGTAATAAAATAAGAAAAATATTTTTCATTTTGTATGGTTCTCCCTGTTCAGTACAGTATAATTTGTAACAAGTTACAGAAATAGTCTTATTGTTAGATCAAATAAAACTTAATCTTAGATAAGTCTACAAAAATAGTTTAATCAAATTATGTTTGACGACTCTCATTCATTAAATAATGATAAGTTTGGTTTTGTTACAATTTATTTGTAGTTAGTTACATGTATTTAAAACATCAAGTAGCAGAACTAACTTGGCATTCATTCTCCTGTGAATATATCTATTCAGTATAAGTATATGCGGTCAGTAGCTTTGCAGTCGAGTACCTGATTTGGGTGTATTCAATGATTCCTTACCTTTGTTTAGACGTCGTGTATCGTTGTAATACACGATTAATTTATTATATATAATATATTATTAACGCTAATTTAAATGTAAAATAATATATTATGATTTAGTATTGATTAAGTAAGTGCCTTTTGATAAGTGTCAAAATATTGTACAAAATCATATTATGGCTTATAAATAATAATATAGCTCATTACAAATTGTAATTGTTTATTTATCTAACGTGACCAATAATTTATGAATGTTGTGTACTCCTTAATGGGATATGTGTGTATTAGAAGGATATGACAGATCTTTCTACTGAACGAACTATCGAGATTTCATGTGTGGAATCGGATCAGTTTGTCGTCTTATATGTATACAGGCCTCCCCTCTGCTAATTTTAACGAGTTTGAATTAATTATGGAAGACGGTTTAAAGCGGATTATTCCAACCAAAAAAAACGTAGTAATATGTAATGATTAATCTTTTCTTAGAACCAACTCGCATCACTGCCTCCTCTTCTGCTTGTATTGATAACATCTTTTGTAACACAGACGCAGTGTCTAAATCAATAATAAATTGCTTAAGATCAGACCATAGTGGCCAATTGGCTTCTTTCAATTGTAAAATAAGCACGAAGGTAGACCAATTGCTCTGCAGACCGATTACCAGAGAACGAATCATTAGATTTCAAAATAATATCGGCAATAGTTTAAATTCCCTACCCCATATACCGGAGGTTCCAAATACTTTATAGAGCACGATATTTGGTTTAAATAAAAATGAATTTGATAATATATTTAGATCGGAAGCATTAACTTTCCATAGAGAGACTAAATTCAACGACTGGGCAACAGTAGGTATTCATAAGAGTAGGTCTCGTTTGTATGAGCTATATGCTATGAAAACTTATAATACTAATTCCAATTTCATAGAATATGTTAGAATTTATTCAAAAATATTTTAAAAAGTATGTGTAGCTGCTAAGGTTAACTTTCACAGCGACAAAATTAGACAATCGATAAATAAATCTAAAACTACTTGGAGCATAATAAATAAAGAGTCAGGCAGGGTTAAACAACACGATAGAGATATAGTTTTAGAATTAGATAGCAAACTTATAAAATCTAAAGATAAAGTAGCCCAAGCTTTTGAATCGTTCTTTTCGGAAATTGCTGTGAACACTACAGAATCATTAAATTCCTCCCCTTCACTTGCTATTGATCTCCTAAAGGAAAATGTTAACGTTTGTGGCAGTTTATTTAATTTTCGTCATGTTAATCCACAAGACATCATAAAAGCTTTTAAATCAATACATGTTAAAAAAAACTGAAGGTCTCTGGGGCATACCAACTAACGTTATAGACTCTGTTATTGATTTAATTTCCCCACATTTAGCTGTAGCTTTCAATAGGTGCGTTGACGAAGGTGTTTTTCCCGATTTAATGAAATACAGCAAGGTTATTCCCTTAATCAAAAGCGGTAGGAAAGTTGACCCTAGCAACTATGGGCCATTTCAATTTTACCAGCTTTAAGTAAAATATTCGAAAAGGTTATGCTGACTCAATTACTGTCATATTTTTCATAGTGAACAATACGGGTTTACTAGTGGTAGATCGACTAGCG